GATCTGACTGACTGACACAGACATATGGGACAGACTGACAGACTGACACACGACACAGGGGGACACAACAGTTAGAGCACAAGGCCATTGTTTTTACTGGGACAAGAGGTACAGGTGCTAACAGTTGTGGATGTGAATAACCTAGTGTCTGTGTCTGTCTGAAAGGGCAAGGCTATTGATTTTGTGGGTGTGGACGAGACCAGTGCCCGCTGGGTGCAGGATTTCAGCGTTAAGCCCTACGCCAATCCAGCCAAACTGGAGTCAATTGACGGTTAGCAAGCTGTGCTGCACTATACTGGAGCACCTTTCACTGTATTGTCACTGACACCACACACACTGACACTGACATCACACACACTGTCACTGACACTGTAGAGACACTGACACTGCACACACACTGTCACTGACCCCACTGTAGAGACACACATCCACTGTCACTGCACTGTAGACACACACAAAGTCACTGAAACTGTAGAGACAGACTGCGCACACACTGTCACTGAACTGTACACACTGAAACTGCACTTTAGAGACACACTCTGACACTGCACACACAGTCACTGACACTGCAGACATACACACTTGTCACTGCTCTGTAGACACACACACTGACATCACATACACACTGTCACTGCTCTGTAGACACACACACTGACATCACATACACACTGTCACTGCACTGTAGAGGCACACACACTGTCACTGACACTGCAGACACACTGACATCACACGCACTGTCACTGCAGTGTAGAGACACACACACTGTCACTGCAGTGTAGAGACACAGACACCACACACACTGTCACTGACACTGTAGAGACACACTGCCACCACACACACTGTCACTGCACTGTAGAGACACAGACACTGACACCACATGCACTGTCAATGACACTGCAGACACACTGACATCACACACTGTCACTTTCACTGCACTGTAGAGACATACTGTCACTGACACTGTAGACACTGTCACCACTGTAGAGACACACACACTATACACACTGTCAGTGACACCACACACACTGTCACTGCACTGTAGAGACATTTACACTGCACACACACACTGTCACTGAACTGAAACACTGAAACTGCACTGTAGAGAGACACACTGTCACTACAGACACACTGTACTACACACACTGTCACTGCTGACACACTCACTGAATTGTAGAGAGACACACTGACACTGACATCACACACACTCACTGCACTGTAGAGACACACACACAGTCACTGACACTGCAGACACACTCACTGACACTGCACTGTAGAGACACACACACTGTCACTGACACCCCCCACACAGCACTACACTGTAGAGACACACACAGTCGCTGCACTGTACTATAGAGACAGACACACTGTGTGTTTGGCGGTGTTTTTGTATCGTCTGTGTGTGTTGTGCGCAGGCGCCCGGTACCATGCCCTGCTGATCCCAGACTGTCCCGGGGCGCTGACGGACCTGGCCCACAGCGGATCGCTGGCCAGGATTCTGACCCACTTCAGCTCTGAGCAGAGTGAGTCTGTGCACATATGTGCGTGTGTGTCCATGTGTGTGTCTGTGTCTCTGTGAGAGTGCATGTCTATGTGTTTGTGTGTCTGTGTGTCTATGTACGTCTGTGAGAGTGTGTATCTATGTGTGTCCGTGTGTGTTCCTGGTGTGATACAGTTCTGCCCCTGTGTCCCTGCAGAGTCGGTGTGTGTCTGTCTATGAGTGTGTCTGTGTGTGTTCCTGGTGTGAGACAGTCTTGCTCCTGTCCCTGTGTCCCTGCAGAGCCGATGTGTGTCTGTGTCCATGAATACCAGTCATTCCCTGAGCGCTTTCAGATCCAAATCCAAACCTTCTTCAGAAACGCCTTTATTAATTTGAGTTTGTATCTGTTCATTATTATTTTTAGTAGTAGTAGTAATAAGAACAACAACAACAACAACAACAATTATACACATTATAATAATAATGTGTCCGTGAAAATCCAAAATCAACAAACCGTTTCCAACTGCTACTATGCATGCTTTCTGGAATAAGCCATGCACATAACAAAATATGATGTTTTCCATCCTAATGCATAAGATAGAGTGTGTGTCCCTGTGTCTGTGTGTCCGTGAGTGTGAGTGTGTCTGTGTGTGTGAGTGTGTTCCTGGTGTGATACAGTCCTGCCCCTGTGCAGAGCCGGTGTGTGTCTGTGTCCGTGAGTGTGTGTCCGTGAGTGTGAGTGTGTCTGTGTGTGTGAGTGTGTTCCTGGTGTGAGACAGTCCTGCCCCTGTCCCCGTGTCCCCCTGTCCCTGCAGAGCCGGTGTGTGTCTGTGTCTGTGTGTGTGAGTGTGTCTGTGTGTGTGAGTGTGTTCCTGGTGTGAGACAGTTCTGTCCCCCTGTCCCTGCAGAGCCGGTGTGTGTCTGTGTGTGTGAGTGTGT